ACAGCGCCTTGCAAGTGCGGCTTTACATCAGTTGCACCTCTTCGACTCTCTCAGCGCCACTTCCGCAGTCTAACCTATACTAGATTTAGCCTGTTATTTCAGTAATTTACAAGAAGTATTGAACGGTACTATACAAAAATCGGTATTGCTTTCTGTATCGTAAATACGTAGAACTTTCTGGCCCCGATATTGTTTTTCACAGACCTGCATCTGCAGTCTTCGCACGCATGGGGTGTTGTTGACACAGCTTGTACGGTCGGTGGGGATCAATCGAGCAAATAAGCTGGGCAGTTCCCAGACAATGGCCTAAGCGTCTATGTGGATGCCCATGCTATATAATATTTAACAAAGGTATTAATATTTACATGTATCATTCTGGAGCTCGTTCGTCACATCTACTATTCAACAAAAGAGATGGCTGTGTTAGTAAAGGCACAACTAATTTGGATATAAACAACAGATTTTTGGGATAGTCCACTACTAGATCCTCTACAGGATCTTCTTGAATGCCTGGATACACAACAGCCATCCTAGATGGAACGCATGAGGACTAAGGACCAATATCGGATCAAAGATAGTTTTGGGAATAGGGAAAGTATTCCAATTTATGCATAATAAGCTCTATCTCCCATGCACCTTTGTGCGGAGACATCGACGCTAAATTCAAAACACAGGTTACCCAGCACTCACTGTTCCTTCTCACCTAGAAATGAAGTGGTAAACTCCATGGTGAAGTAAATAAATAATCGAGAACGCCCTCCACCTGATTGACGGATGAGAGTCAGCTCAAGATCGCGATAGTGTTAGTTCGGCAGGATGCAATTGAACCTCCCAATCATGTGTGAAGTATCGTGCAAGGGTTCAGCATCACCCGGGTTAGATTTGCCCACTTTTTAACACTTGCCCCTCACCTTCTGTCTCGCTAAGATCTTTTGTGCCAGTGCTGAGTAGTTTATGACAGGCCACTAAGTTGCTTTGGATGATGATTTGTCATAATCTTCAACGCCACGAAACCCTTCCAGCCAATCTAAGATGCGGATACATACAATGAACTATGAGCTCGTGGAAGCAAACATTCTTGGTGCCGTATTAGACATGCAGGTAATCCTCCGCGAAGGCCGTCAGATTGCGTGGCTGGCTGAAGATGCTTCTTCATTCGAGGGGATGATGTGCCCGTATACCCATCCTAGCAATTTACAGGGGTGTTGTATTTCGATGATAGGTTATTTGTGCACCGGGGAAGTTTGAATGGATGGTATAAGGGCTTAACCTTTCCATATGAGGGAGTGCTATCGCTGAATCTCGCGCGGCGCCGAGTTACGACAGAGCAATTTGGCATCGACAGCCCGCTACTGTATTAATAAATTTCGAGATATAACGACTGATAACCCTATGCAGTCAAGTCGAGGTTTGATGCAACATGTGGAATTTTAATTTTACGACAGCAGCTGGTTGTTGCAGCACTAGTAGCGCTATCAGAAATTGTTTTACCCGGGTTAAGACGTTCGAAATCCTCCTAGGAGTTCGTCAGCTTACCCCTCGGAGTTCGCCCCTTTCGCGCTTCATGCGCTGGGGGTTTTACGCTGATATTTTTTTCCTCTCTATTTTTTTTGTTCCATCCCTGGGGTTGTCCCTCATTGTCAGAAATCTCGCTTTTATATTCTATAACCCAAGCCCTGAAAGCACAGAATGGCGCACACGCTACCTGACACTGCGATTGCTGCGTCGAACAATGGATCTAACATCAATGTTTATTTCCAAGTTACTGATGGGAGTATCGTTGAGCATCTTTACAGATTCATCCCGGGCTCAGACTCCGCCTCTTGGATCCCAAATCCTGATCCGGTTGTCAAAGCTGGTGAGGCAAAGTTTTTCACTCCATTAGCAGCCCATGTGGGATTTACCAAGCACTTTGCACCTCAGGTAAAACTTTTATTTGCTTTTCTCTAATTAGCTCTTCGTATATGAGATCTTTGGGCGGACCTGTGACTGACCTTGGACAGAGACATGTTTTCTTCGTTGACAAAAAGAACTATCTACGTGAGGTGTATTTATCGGGAGAAGATAACTGGACAGCTGGTGACCTAGATACGCTTCAAATTGAAGTCGCACCTTATTCCCAGATCGCCATGGTTTCTTCGAAGCTCTACTACCAAAAGGCGGATGGCTATATCTACACTGTCACTTTAAGTGAGGGTGTTTGGACGAGGGATAGCATTGCACTGAGCACGGCCAATAAGCCTATGTTAGGGTGTGGAATAGCAGCGGCGAGCGGAGAGTGGTTCACTCAGTCAAATTCTTTAGCTATTGAGATGGGGGGCTCTCAAACCACCATTCAGAGTGGTAGGATTCAATAACCTTCCTTTTCCCCTACGTACGTTCAGAGAAGCTAATCCCCTGCTTGTCGTGTACAGTTTTACCCAGTCCATCTTCACACACGAGCCTCGCTGCTGTTGGAGACGGGACAGAGTACAAGTGCATCTTTTACACCACAAACGAGAGCAAACTTCACGAATGTCGCATTACGAAAGATGGGCAACAATCGACGTATATTGCCTGTGTGCCTCCCCGAAGTTACTTCGCAGCGATTCGACAGAGACCCGGTGATGGCCATCAGGACGTAATCAGCATCTTCGTCCAGACCGGACAAGGGAATAAGATATCGCAGTACAAGTATACCTATCCTAAGGGCTGGCAATTGGCAGTGGATGCAATTTGAGGAGATTCATCTCTATGGTTCCATTGAACCCAGATAACTGGTTTAAAAACGCTAGCAAATTCATTCACTACTTATCCTAAATATTGTCTCGTGACTATCTAACGACCTTAGAAGGTCAATTCTAGATCCCTAAGACGTGCACTCTGCTATGAAACTCCTTCCCATGTTGCCTTGTAAATGACAACTGTTGAGTCGTTAGCAGGTGGAAAGGTAGCAAGCCTTCTCCCGTCCGGCGAAAATACCACTCCGTAACCATACCTTAAACCTTCTGAGCCTTCAAATGACGTAAGTTCTGTTGCGGTTTCTGCATCTCGTATCCTCACGATATTTTCCGCACTTAAACAAGCGAATATTTTACCATCCGGCGAGTACACGAGCCAAGTCACCGTAGGGAGCTGTAAATGGATTACCTCCCCCTGGTTGCCCTCGCCCCGGTTGACCTTGCCCTTGTTGTTCAAACTCCACACTCTAATACATGGCTCGTTCGTTGCCAATGCCAGATGTTTTCCGGTAGGAGAAAAGGCCAGCGAGAATGTCCCAAACTTGCCGGGAGTGTGAATTGTCTCGATGACCGCTCTTTGAGCTACGTCGTAGATGTAAATATAGGGAGGCCTCCGATTCGCAACAAGATTGCAATCTGGCGAAAATGCTACCTGCTCACCGCCGACATTCGGAACACTGAGTTCCTGTGAGAAAGTTATGAGCGAATAAAAAATTACGTTATTCGGTGTCTGCACGGCAACGCGCTGTGCATTCTGGGAGATTGCAAATTGTCGAAAATGATCAGTTTCGGGCAGAATGATTTGACTCCCACTCTCGAATGAGGTCGTTCGCCACTTCCAAACGCGTAGCTCATACTCTAAGGGGAGAACAAGATAATCATTGCCCGCGAATTTAAGCCTCGTCACCAATTTCGGTAGATCGACCTTGAAATGCACTCCCCCGCTGCGTAGATCTACAAACCAAAGAGTTTTAGTCGAACACGAAACAGCCATCACCGAGTTATCCGGGGTGAATGCGACGCATTGGACACGGTCTGAGAAGTGGTGAAAGTCGTGTGCAGTCCATCGTGCGTTTAGCAAAGATTGTACCTGTGGCTTGCTGCTCGCGGTCGGAGCATCTTCGTTGTTTGGTTTGCTCGCTGACATTGTCGTCTGGCTAAGACGGTCGACTTTGTTAGCAATTATACCATATAGTAGCGCTGATAGCAAACATACGACGCGGTAACAATTTCTTCTTTCATCGTCTGAACATTAGCATCCAGAATGTTGAATCTACTATTGATAATCTGCTCCAGGACAGTAGGATCCGCGTTAAACAACAGGAGATACTTGAAATGGTTCTCATCCAGCGGCAATTTGCGGCGTGTCGCTGTGTTACTGGCACCAAAACTCTGCTCCAAGACTGATAGCTTCTCTTTCAGGTCTCGAAAATATGCTTCACCACTCCTGCCGCCTTGTTTCGTTCTGTAAAGGTCTCCGATTGCTCTGGCAAGCCATTGTGAACCGAGCGCTTGGGTCATTACTGCCTCTCGGAAATCTTCCCACGACCTTATGAGATAGCCTGAGCTCTGATACCAATCCGCCAGATCGTGCGTATCACCATCATCGCTGATTTTATCCCCGATGTGGGCGACCAGGAATTCATTTTTCTCGGCGATTTTATTGTCGTTCATATAATGGGTCGCTTTGACGAAACATTTCTGCATCCACTCGTTCAAAGCGACTGCAGTGAGTGGTCCCGAGAACGTGGGGAGGTCTAAGGTTGGAGACATCGTACTGGGTATTGATCGTTTAAGGCGTGAGAATAAAGGATCTCTGTGAGGTGTATAGGGTATTTAAGCCGCGTGTTAGACGCATTGTGGCGTAGGCTTGCTTGATGCGTTGGCTACGACTCATCCGTGTTCGCACGGTTCTAGCTACGACAAGGCTCTGGTGTGATGGTTCCCAGTAAATCACAGCTATTCGACCGGACGTAATTAATTACTCATATTATTACTGGGGTTAGGAAATTAATTTCAAGTTGTTCAGAAAATTTTTAAATTTTTTTAAATTTCTAGACTACATAGAGCCCTTGATGAGAGACAAGCACACTTTGACAACAGGTATTTACCAAAATTATAGGATATTGGGGGAATAACTTAACTACAAAAAGCCGAGTATAAAGTGAAGCATTGAGAAGTAGCTAGATAAAGGGCAAACCTACCCGGCGCTAAACCTGGGCCACTAGCACCATACTTCATCACCTGGAAAGTTACGTTATTTACATACTGAGGTTTAAATACGGAAACTTTGGTATACTTACATTCAATACTAGTGGTAAAATATCCTAAATACGGACTAGACTTAGTATAGGTTAGGCAACGGAAGTGGTGCTGAGGAAGAGTCCAAGAGTGTAAATCATGTAAAGCCGAACGTGCAAGGCGCTGTATTGTTGGTCAAGTGACGGCAATTTGAGTAATTCGTACTGTATAAAAGGCGGTCCTAACCTCTGCCATTATGACTTTCATCTGTCGGCAAACAAAACTCTTGAGTCTCTACTCCATCAATCAATATGGAAGATTGGGCTTGTATACCATCCTTGGATGATCTCTTCTTTGACTTTTCATCGTCATCTGGAAACATGAATGAAGACGGTGAACTTCTCGGACGATTTTGCGAGACACCAACGACATATACCGATCTTCCCGATGAACTGGCCGTGAGCGTCTTGGAGGAGCAGAACGTCAACGGAAAAAATAATCGCTCACCCAACAAGGAAGAGACCTCGTTGTGAGAAAACCTAATTAAAGAGGTCTCTCTTTCCAAGTATCGTGACTGGACATCATCTACCTATGTTGATGTACCGATTGGATTGAGTTCCGAAATCCTGCAAACGCATCACCTGAACGGTCATGGCGAATGCTCCCCGATTCACGATGACCTCACCCCACGCATTGTGGTAACGGGCACACGGGCTAGCGAAGCAGTTCATCCTGGCCAACCACCTCTCTACACAGAAGGGGACGATGAGAACGTCGATGAAGCCAAGGTGCCTGGTGAGGAGACGGCCATCAAACCTTATCTCCAGAATCCGATTGTATCACATTGCGGTGAAGGCAGAGATAGGCGATTCTTGGTATGGCAATTCGAGGAAGAATTGAAGCTTCAGAAGAGCGAATGGCTCACGCTTTACTGGGAACAACAAGATGTACTAGAAAAGGCATCTAAACTCCCGGCAAGCAGGGCAAGTTTTTCAAAACGGAAAAGAAACCTATGATTTGGATTTGAGTATTGAGTTTATTGTATTCTTTGATCTGATCAATTTGTTAGTCTTAGTTGAATATGAGCTGTTGACAAGATTACTTTACCGCTATCCCGAATATGGTGAGCGCGGCGCATATATCTACTCGACTGCCCTCATTGGATGGCTGGCTGTCCTCGTTATAAGGATTTGCCAAGATTCCCCTTTACTAAACTAGCGCGCACAGTTCTACTGTTACGAAGCCAATTACCTGCATGCGCTACGCGATATAAGAAACAGACCAGGAAGAACGATTGGACAACAAGAGATGTGTGTGTGTGTGTGTTGGAGCTCGGTTACGCTAGGATGGATACGGAATATAGGCAAATAATAAGAACTTAGAGTTGAGAATTTCTATGTATTGATGCACACTCCCTAATACAAAACTTGTCAGGAATGTTGACCTCTTTTATATGTGAGGTCCTGTACAAACTAGATCATGAGATGACGTCCAGTCGAACCTTCTAGACATAGGCATATAAAGCTGATTGGATGTCTATATCTCTTCAGTATGTGAATCTAGTTCTCGAAATTTCTTCATGTTAGTATTATGATGAATTCCCAATTAGGGATAGCGTATTGTGTTCCAACATTTTCTGTCGAGGATTAGTCACAAGGTTGAATCTACGAATCAGTTTTACAGCTCTGTGTCGAGAATCTTCTATTGATATTGTCTGGATATCTTCTATATGGGATTCTCAAGCATAAATAGTGTCCGACAATCCCGTCAAGATGTAGATAGAAGAGTGGGCGCAGAATTAGGTCAATATCAATATTTCTCACCGTAAATACATCTTTGAGTATTGAGCTTAACTGAGTTTGTGCTAGTGCATAGCAAGTTCCGATATTTCCCCCCCGAGAGGATTACGGCACGATTCATATTCTTTACACATCTTTGATATACCGCTCGAACTACGACTGTGCATTGCGGAATTTTTCTGGTTGAATCGCGATTTCGAGGGGATATTGGACCAGAATTAGGGTAATCCCCTTCTGACCAAGCTTCTTTCTGTGGTTTTGAAGTTACGGGTGTGGGAAGGGAAAGTACCTCGATGTTGTTTCACCACGGCGGGTGTTTCATATCGCCGGAATGTCAGTTAGTTGTTTTGTGAGTGGACCGATTGCCGAAAATGGAGCATTCTTACGCGAGCCTGGGCAATCCGAATTGCAGCAACTACTCAAGAATGTACAGAGGGCACTTCAATCGAAGAACGACGCTTCTCACTTATATTCAACTACAAAGCTGCCGTCGACAAAGAGCTTACCATTCTCCAGGCAGCCGAGTTGAGCGATCAGATTAATGGTTCACGTGGGAACGTCCCTATTCGAGCGGTTCTGACAGACGGCGCGGTGACCGTCGAGCCTACAAACGTGACGAAAGCGACGAGCGCGGAATTGGCTCTACAACGAATTAGTAGCCAGCCGGATCATGGCACGCCTGATTTTCTGTTCAATGCAGGAAATTCTCGCGGCGGTGAGACTTTGTTTAGATGGGGAGGGTTCAGAATGTCATTAGTGTTACGATGGGGGCCGCAGGCGATTACGGCGGCGGCGACGGTTCTGGATGATAACGAGGCATTGATTAATGGGTTGGCTGGTTTGGCAATCTCTAGCTGGAATTTTTGTCTTGCATGATGATACATACAGATACACGATGTGCAAATACGATAGTTATGATAGATGCTAATCAACTAAAGAAGTGTGCCCTAACACTGACCACTTGTTTCGGATACATTTTGAAGCCTCGGACGGACCCTCTGACTGGAACGGCAACTAGGTAACCCCTTTCCAGCAAGACTTGCTCCTTGCCAATTTTCTGGTTTGTCATTATTTTTCTTTGTCAGCGCCACTGATTCAGTGGGAATTCCCGCTCCTAAGCATCAGAAAAGTTTCCGGGATTTGCTAGAGAAAAGAAAAAGTTGCCCCGATGGACATGCATATTCTTAATGTTTCTATTGGATTCCAGGCCGCTTTAAGGTGATGTAACCAGGAACCAACGTTCTTTAGATTCGAGATTTGTAACCCTAAGTAGTCTCAAGGTTTGACTTGCGTGCTTGGACAATGGAAACATTATTATTAATCAGGTTCGAATATTTTAAGATTGTGGATTTTCAATACAGTTCTGATTGAATTGTAAATGGTATAAATACTTGCATTGTCCCTAGCAGAACGTAGATCTATTCCCTCAAACAGACACCATTCACCTATCTCCTCATCTCCCCGAGATATCCAGACAGACAGAAAGCAAAATGACAACCCTCTTCACCCCCCTCAAAGTCGGCCGCGTCCAACTCTCCCACCGCATCGCCCTCGCACCCCTGACCCGCTTCCGCAACGACGAAATTACCCTCGCCCCCATCGTGCCCCTCGTAAAAGAATACTATGCCCAACGCGCCTCCGAGCCTGGCACTCTACTCATCTCAGAAGCAACCCTAATCAGCCCCCAGGCCGGCGCATATTATTACGTCCCCGGAATCTGGTCAGAAGAACAGATCGCAGCATGGAAGCAGATCACCGACGCCGTGCATGAAAAGGGATCCTATATCTATGCCCAACTATGGGCGTTGGGACGAGCCGCAGACCCCAAGGCAATGAGGGCTCAACCCGGTGCCGAGAATTTCGAAATTGTGAGCAGTAGCCCTGTACCACTAGATGAGGGCTACGAGACTCCGCGTGCACTTACGGAGGACGAGATTCAGCAATATATCAAGGATTATGCACAGGCCGCAAAGAATGCGGTAGAGCGTGCGGGTTTCGATGGCGTTGAGCTTCACGGCGCAAATGGGTTTTTAATTGATCAGTTTACTCAGACATGCGTCAACCAACGCACGGATCGATGGGGCGGTAGTGTCGAGAATAGATCTCGTTTCGCGCTTGAAGTCACAAAGGCTGTCATCGAAGCCGTCGGCGCTGATCGTACCGCTATCAGATTCAGCCCCTTTAGCAACTACCAGAATATGGGCATGCCTGACGCCGAGCGAGAGTCAACATTCGCTTATCTCGCCCGCGAACTTGCGAAATTACACGTTTCGTTCGTCCACCTAATCGAACCACGCGTAGAAGGAAACATGGACGTCGAAAACCCCCAGGGATCACTCCAATTCTTCCTCGACGCATATGCCGATGCCTCCCCCGTTGTGCTCGCGGGAGGCTACAAAGCCGATAATGCGAAAGAAGCCGTCGAAGTCCGATACAAGAACCGTCCAGTGATTATTGCATTCGGAAGAGCGTTTATTGCGAATCCGGATTTGCCATACAGGATCAAAAAGGGGGTTGAGTTTACGCCGTATGATAGAGACACGTTTTATAATGCCAAGGAAGCTAGAGGGTATACGGATTATCCGTTTAGTGAGGGGTTTGTTGTGGGTGTTAAGGCTTGAATTTTGAAATAAAGGGGTTTGTTTGATTATACACTGTTCTATATAGCATGCTTTTTTTGGAGTTGCCAATCTTTGATATACATAGACTAGATACTCCATATACGATATTACATGGTTATCTGAGGTTCAAATCATTAAGTTCAATTCATCAAGTCTATCCATACATGTATCCCGAAAAAGCAATATGAACCCTACAGAAGGCGTGTATGGCACTGACACTAACACGACGATGAAGAAAGTGACTGCCATGTCCCAAAAGTGTAAAAATAAATGTAAAAAGCCTTCCCAGACTAACGAATAAATAACCCTCAACTCTGTTGCCATCATGCTTCGATTGATTGATTGATTGATTGATTGATTCATACACGCATCTAAGCCTAGTGGCCGGCGGCGCCATCTAATTGGGCAGCGGGCGTACTACCATACAGAAGCATAAATCAACGTCGACGTGCCAAGGCTTCCGGTTTGGCGCTGGCTCAGCCACCATCGCGCGAGAGTCTCGACACGTATCCGTATCCAAATCCGAAGAACACTAACAACAGTAGGGAATATACAGAAAGAGTGAAGGATCTAGGTGCGGAGTGACGTGATGTGCTTTGGTGCCCGGTTCTATTCTAAACGTGTCAAGTGGTTGATCCGTATGAGCCGAATCAACATGGTTACGCTTCGTCGAGATAGTGTCGCGCACACACTGTGAGCGCGTGGTATTAGGGGATTGCGTGACGGAATTGCGTCAATAGACCAGTCCGCATTACGAATTCGATGCTCTGCCGAACCCACTGAGGTTCGCTGAGGAGCTTCCGATAGTCTGTTTCGCGTGCTTCTTTCCAGAGGGTCTCCGTATGCAGGTTCATATAGATAGGGCACCGTACGAGGACGTGGGCCGTATCCTGATCTCCAAGGCCACACTGACATTGAGGTGAGTCCTCGATCCGTACGCTTGCTAGGAAGCTGCGTAGCGCCGATTTACCTGTTTGTAGTTGGATCAACACCGAACTCCAAGCCCGTCGTAATCCCTCGTGCAGCTGCAACAACCTCTTCGTTGACGTTCATAATAGCCTCCTCACGGGTGTTGTCAATCCTTGCTTCTGGTGGCTCCCACCATGGTGGCACTACAAAGGGGTAGATTGTCTCAATACGTTGAGTAGTATCACGTCCAAGTTTGCGGTTGATGACTGTTTCCAGTCGATGAAGTGGCGACGTGTATGGGTCGTTACGGTGGGCTTGGCCACGTACGTGGTAAGGTGTAGATCGAAGCGGTGAGGTCATGATCCACAGGCATGCCTCCTCTGCCAGCTTTGCGAGCGTGAGCTCTGCAGGTGGCACATGGAGGCAGATCTCTAGGGCCTGTCGTGACGTACGTTTAAAAGCGCCAGATATCCGGTGGAGAGCCTGATCCTGGATCGATCGGATGGCTTGCTCTGCAGCCCGTTGCGCACCAGCGAAGCCTCTTCCACCTCATATATACCACGTGGAGCACGCGTACATAATCTGTGGTTGGAGGACAGCCATGTATATCTTCCTTAGATGAACCAGAGACGTTCCCCATGTTGATCCTGCAATTGAAGATAGCCCTGCCACCAGTTTTGCGGCCTTCTCTCTCATCTCCTCCTGTACGTGCACTTCCCCGGTGAGGTGGGTATCCAGATAGAACCCGGGATATTTAATCGAGTCCATAGGCTTGATTTCCACTCCCTTGATTGTGAGAGGTACATCCAGCCTACCCTGTGGCATTGGTACTGATTGGTGCTTCCGCCAAAAGTGGGCTAGTTAATATTTAGCTGGCGCGAACTTTGAAGCGTGGGTTCTCTCCCAGCGCTCTGCCACCTGGTGCGCTTGGGTGAGGGTGCGACAATTGGCGGCTGCGGAATTCCCAAATGCCATAGTAAAGATGTCGTCGATATAGCCTATTACAAACACTTCTAGGCACTCAGCTCTTATCTGCTCAATGAGATCCGCATTAAAGAATAAGAACAGGATTGGCAACAGGGGGGACCCTGTGGGATACCCGTATTGACATCAAATTCACCCATATTGCCCTCAAGAAGTGTAATTGATGTACGGCGGCTACTCTATAACAGTGGGGCCCAACGTGGCTAAGTTCTGTCGAGATCCTGCTTTCTAGGCTCGTAATACTGAATGAAAATGTTGGCCAGGTTAGTGTTCACAGCTGATGCTCCATTACTATGTAGTTGGTTGGTTAATGTGTTTATTTGCACGCCACCATAATAATTTTGTGCGACATAATTGGCTTATACTGTCCACGCGTGAAGCCTTGCAGTCAGCCTAGCGTATTCCCCCGTTCGCCCAACCCACCTAGGGCTCACCAGGGGTCACTTAGATCCAATTTTCCCATATCTAGGAAACAGATGTTTGGATGTCATTATTGCGTGCAAGATTTCAAAGGCCCTGCCAACGCTGTCGCACGTTGAATGTGGCATGGATCTGCGTTGCTGTTGGAATGACCACTGCAAAAGCAATGTTTGGGAAATTCACATTAGCCCCTCAGCCAGCACGTGATCACATGCGAAAAGCCTAATGGGGTTATGCACCAAGACTGATGGGGTTAGGCACCAAGACTGATGGGGTTAGGCACCAAGACTGATGGGGTTAGGCACCAAGACTGATGTTTTGGCGTATCAAGAATAAAGGGTTGCACGCAACAGACTAAATCTTTCGGTATATTCTCTGCGCCATCTGGCCCCAGAGAAGACATCTGATATATGATTTGTTAATAAGATGGCGTGAGAGGTTTCAGTTGACCCGATACTGTTTATAAATCGGATTATATTGAGATACGAGCAATGATCTACGGATCGGGTGCCGCATAAACTAGACGTCCCATAAATGGTCCTTTGAGTCGACACGTTTCCAATTGAGTGCATATATAGAAGGATTTGAGACTGATTCTCTTCTTGTGACGATAAGATTGGAATCTATACACAATTAGATATCAAAATTCCGGGATGCAGACAGATAATTATCTAGAGCGAAGTGCTCATACTGTAAGATACAGCTGAAACTTGCCCGTTCTTAAAACATCGCGACTGACATTGACTGAGGAAATTGGGACGGATGATCTCAACCAGCATTTGGAAGATGCCGCCTTGGATGGTGATGAAGTGACTGTGAGGTCAACTTCACGTGGAGCGACGTCAGATACTACAGACAATGATGGATTCACGCCACTACATAGAGCTAGCTACCGCGGACATAGAGACGTGGTAAAGCTCCTCCTCGAAAATGGAGCAGAAATCGATCTCCTTGATGAAGGGGGACAATCAGCACTTCACTTAGCCAGTTCTGAAGGAAGAACAGATGTGGTGGAGCTACTCCTTGAAAATGGAGCAAATATTGATCTCCAAAGTCAGAGCGGTAGATCAGCACTTCACTTCGCCAGTTTTGAAAGAAGGGCAGATGTAGTAGAGGTGCTCCTCCGCAATGGAGCAAAGATTGATGTCACCGATGAGGACGGAGAATCGGCACTCCACATAGCCAGTTCTGAAGGAAGAACAGATGTGGTGGAGCTACTCCTTGAAAATGGGGCAAATATTGACCTTGCTAATAAGCAAGGACGGTCGCCCCTTCACCTCGCCAGTTTTGAAGGAAGGGCAGATGTAGTGGAGGTGCTCCTCCGCAATGGAGCAAAGACTGATGTCACTGATGAGGAAGGACGATCAGCACTCCACATAGCCAGTTCTGAAGGAAGAACAGATGTGGTGGAGCTACTCCTTAAAAATGGAGCAAAGATTGATCTCCAAAGTCAGAGCAGTGGATCAGCACTTCACTTCGCCAGTTATAGAGGAGGGACAGATATAGTGGAGGTGCTCCTCCGCAATGGAGCAAAGATTGATCTTACTGATGAGGACGGACAGTCGGCACTCCACATAGCCAGTTGCAAGCGAAGGACAGGTATAGTGGAGCTGCTTCTTCAAAATGGGGCAAATATTGACCTTGCTGATAAGCAAGGACGGTCGCCCCTTCACCTCGCCAGTTTTGAAGGATGGAAAGACGTGGTAGAGTTGCTCCTTCAACGTAATGCAAAAGTCAACCTCGAACACTCTACAGGATGGACGGCACTACACCTAGCTAGTACTGGAGGAAGAGAAGAAGTAGCAGAGCTACTCATTCAAAGTGGAGCAAAGCTTGATCTCACTGATGAAGAAGGACATTCAGCACTTCACATGGCCAGTTCCGTAGGAAGGAAAGGGATGGTAGAGCTACTTCTTCGAAATAGAGCAAAAATCGACCTCCCTGATAAGGAAGGACAAACGGCACTCCACTTGTCCAGCTCCGAAGGAAGAACAGATATAGTGGAGCTGCTCCTCCGTAATGGAGCAATAATTGATCTTCTTAACAGTGAAGGACAGTCAGCACTCCACTTAGCTAGCTCTGAAGGAAGAAAGGAAATAGTGCAGTTGCTCCTTCAAAATGGGGCAAATATTGATCTTGCTAACAAGAAAAGATGGACAGCACTTCATCTCGCCATTTTCAAGGGAAGGACGGATGTAATCAAGCTGCTTCTTCAAAATAGAGCAAGAATTGATCTTACAGACGAAAATGGACAGTCGGCGCTCCACTTAGCCAGTTCTCAAGGATCGAGAGAGATTGTGGAGCTCCTTCTTCTAAATGGAGCAAATATTGATCTCGCCGATAATGAAGGGGCCTCAGCACTCGACTTGGCCAGCTCCCGGGGAGTGAAAGAGGCCATAGAACCCCTCATCCAAGATCGAGCTACGAGTGATTTTAGAGTGCATTCAGGGTCGGATTCTGCAATTTACGAGGGAAGAAATGGTGTGGCAGGGCTGATTTTTCGGGACAAGACAGAGCGGTCAATTAGGAGAGTGGAAACTCCACGAACATCAGCATTAGTTGATACGAGGAACAGTCTCTGGGGGGGAGTGCATCGTCACAACGGTGACGGCTTTACATTAGCGAAGTACGACAATCACAGCATTTTCTTTGAAGCCAAATTAGAATTCATACGATTCTCAAGACAAGATGAGGACAATATGCATGCAGTACATCTAAAGCTCAATTTTATGAGGCCATTTGCAGAAAGCCATCGTATACGTTATGCAAAAGTGGACATAATGCTAAGCGCAGGAGACTCCGGAAAGGAACCAAATATACGTGCTATCCGGCCGCAGGCGGATCGAGTGCAAGTCTCTGAGCAGGAGATAACAACAGGACAGAAGCTCACTTTCGGTGCGGCAGGGAGCGGTGGACCATCCAGCCTTAATATCAACATGGAAGCCTCGAAGGGGAGGAAGACAACTTTTCAAGGAGTTCGCATTGTACATGGAGTAATCAAGGACCGTACACATGCTTGTTGGAGCTTGTATGAAGAGCCCGGCAGTAAGAGCGGTCTACCGGAAGTAATAAGGCTTCTTGTACTCGTACATTGCGAAGCAGAGTTTGACTTACGCTTATCAATGTCCGTGAAAGCCTCTCACTCCTTAGCACTCGGACTACGACGAACATTGAAGGCTAAGGAATCAGTCCCATATCGTGTTCCAGATTTGAAGACGATTTCTGAGTTAGAAGATTCCTTAAAAGTGAGGCAAATTCTGGACGTGGCAGATCGCGCTGCCTCGCTTGTGACGGAGGCAAAAAGGCTAGAGACAGCCTTTAGTCAGACGTTCCAAGATCATGAAAGAAGAGCTCTGATTATAGAGGCTGGTGCAAAGCAAAGCTATGTGAAGCAATGGACCGAAATTGTTAATTCATCTAAAGCTGGAAATTTCAGAGGCCTTACAGAGAGGCTAGTAGAAAGCGAGGAAGCAAAGCACCAAAAAGAGGCGGAACGGACGAGTAGAAATAACGTAAGTGACAACAGATTTGCACACTATCCGCCTGCACCAACCGGCCCAATGCCACCATCTCATGGACCCGTACCGGCACACCCTCAATTCAATCAGCCACCACCAACTGGCCCAATGCCACCGTCTCATGGACCCGTACTGGCATACCCTCAATTTAATCAGCCTCCACCAATCGGCCCAATGCCACCATCTCATGGACTCATACCAGTACACCCTCAATTCAATCAGCCTTCACTAACTGGCCCAATGCCACTATCTCATGGAACCATACCACCACCACCCATATTCAACCAGCGGCCCTTTTTATCAGCTATTCCAAGAGAGTCTCTAGATGTTAATGACCAGACGACAGACAATATCCTGGACTCGTTCTCTGCTGTTGGTCCCGCGTATACTGTGTCAAGGTTGGCATGATGCAGTGATGGAAATAGAAGGATTGTCTTCTTCAAAAGTGTATTCCCACGTCGATTCCGCTGTTATCTTTGGTGCTTCTTCTGCAGCGGTGTCTTAGAAAAAGTCTGGACTTCTGGGCTAGCCATGTTTTCATTTCTAGTAGTTTAGTTTGGGCAGAGAGTGAAGTAGCAGAAGACTTGATATATACAAAGACATTGTCTCTTAAATAACCCTGATAAAGTGTGGTGTCAACCAGGTGAAGCGCTTTTCAAAAAGGTGCCTTTTCAACATTTGGCAAAAATGGACTTTCGCAAAAAGTCCGTTTATTATACATATCACTAGAGAGTCGCTGACAGGCTTGCGGTTAACAGGCCTAACAGGTGTGTCGAACCGACAGGCCAATCAGCTGACAGTGTCGGCCGACTATCCGACCACTATCCGACAAGCCCCAAAATTTCTTGGCAAATATTTACATCTCTCTTTACAATCCTATTACTACTGCTATGTTTTTATAGCAAGTTCATAAATATTAAGGATAAAATAGGATTCATGTTGGTTTGTGGGAGCAATCGAGTGTGTGTGTGTGTGTGTGTGTATTTAACGGCCGTGGATCGTGACTCGCACGCTTTCCACCAATCCCTACTGGGACATAGGCCGCCGAGGGGTAAGCCTCGGGCTTCAGGTCCTATCAGATTTATATACAAATAAGGGACTCTTTGGCGCATTTCCATAGCTGCCGTGGTCTTACAGGGAGTCCACTTCCGAGTGGGTTTTAGATATTTGCCAGCTGCAATGGTCCACCTACGCTCCATGACCCAAAACTCTACCATAATAGTAATCAAGCAGTGAGAGTTTAAAAGAAAGAAGGAAAGAAGGAAAGAAGGGAAGAAAGAGAGAAAGAAAGAGAGAAAAGAGAGATATAAGGGAAAAGTAGGGCTGACTTAGCTAGGTGCTAAGGAGAGGTTGGCGAGGACAGATATCCTTAAAAAAACGGGTCTCTGCTAGCCATGTAGCTAGTTTTTGTGCTCCTTTCGTGGTGCCTAGAAGGAAGGATATGACCTCAGAAGAAGGTCCAGGAGGACGAGGGGCTCGTCTCTTAGCTATATAGCAGAAGAAGAAATGTAGAGGTGCTTTTCGTGCTCTACATTGACAGAGGAGATGAGCATCATCATGATTAAAACATTTATGGTAGTCTGCGAAGTCTCCATGTCTAGTATAGGCTGCAATGATATGGCCAAGGTCAAGTCGGTTAAGTTGAAGCTCTCCAGGGCGCTTAGGAGATGTAGTTATTTCTAGATCTTGGTAAGTTTATGGTGCTATGGTCTGCCACCGTGTCTGGGCAGTAGAGAGAGATTAAGTCTTGGCGTGTCTCTTTAGCGAGGCATATGAGGACTTGCATGGAGAGGGGGGGATAGAGGCAGCTCCCTCTTTAGCAGCAGAATCTGCTGCTTCATTCTCAGGGATTTTAGTGTGTCCAGGGACCCATCGGATTTAGACTGATCCACTTTTGGTGTGTGGAAGCCTTTCACGTAGTGGCCAGCCAGCTGCAAGGGTGCGGAAGGATTCAAAGGCTTCTTGAGAAGATCCAGTAGAGGGAGATAGAAGACGCGTGGCAACTTCTAAGTTATCAAGGCAGATCCATAAGTTAGTAGCAAATTGAGCTGTTGGGTATGCTATTGCTGCTTGGGCACTAGCTAGGGCAGCTTCTGCTTCTGCGTCGAAGACCTCTTTCCCATGTCCATATGAGAGTGAGGAGCGGAGGAACTGATTGTGTGCTTGAAATCCAATGTAACCTCCTCCTGCACGTCTGTCTACTAGTCTAGATCCATCTGAAAAGATTATAATATCAGAGCTAGGGATGGTGCGTTGAAAAGCTATAAAATCAGCCGCTGCCTGTTCCTTACTGCGTCCCATGGGAGCTCCTATTCAAGCTTGAGCATTCTCGCGCGTCTCGCGAGGGTGCCAGGGAGCGTGTTGGAGAGGGTTTATCTGCTCAGAGTTGGGGAGGGCCAGTATGCGGCGGGCAAATCGGCTGGTTTGTCGGCTATTACTGGCAATCTGTTCCGCGCGTCTTCGAAGTGGGTGGTAAGGATCCAGACGCCATAGGCGGACAGTTATGAGGAGGGCTATTCGATCTAGTTCAATTTCTGGTGGAGAGAATCCAGACTCCCAGTAAAGGACAGATATTGGGGTTGTACGGAAAACTGGAAGGACTGCTCTTGCGCCTGTTAGTACTACTTTAGTTAGTTTCTTAAGATATTCGCCAACTCGATTTGAAGTCTGGGTAGGCCCAGGGCGAGTACGTCCTGGCCACCAGGTTTCAGCACCATAGTATGCTTTATGGAGTACACAGGCTAATACAGCTTGCTGTAGTAAATAAGGTTTAACTCCTCGAGCAGTATTCCCTAGAGAGCGAAGGGCATTAGCCACAGTGAGGGCTTTAGATGCTATTTTACCGACATGCCATTTAAATGTGAGCTTTTTGTCATAGAGGATTCCTAGCTAACATAGATATAGGCGTTTAGTATTTTCTGAGACTGTAATAGATCCAGCTTTTACTGAAGGTGTACAGGTTGGGTCCTGGTCTGCTTTTCGTCGAGAGAAGTGAAGAAGCTCGTATTTATCTAGTGCGAAAGTAATGCCCTCTGCAGCACCCCAGTTAAGAGCTTCTTGAAGTGAGTCTGATAAGGCTTCGCAGTTAGTAGCAAGGGATGTCGAGATTGCCAGGTTAGCTGCGTCGTCGGCGTAGCTAAATTTGTTCCTTGAGTTTCCTAGACGGAATAGAGGCGCTATGTAGAGCATGAATAAAATGCCAGATACTGGGGATCCTTGTGGAAGGCCGCAGGCAATGTCTGTTGAGGGGCCAATCTCTCCATCAAGTCGGATCTGAACTGATCGCCCAGTAGCAAAGGAGGCGATCCAGAGGACGAGATTAGTAGGCCAGCCCTGCTCACGCAATCTGCGGATCAGTCTGCCAGGAAGCACGGCGTCAAATGCGCCTTTGACATCTAGGGTAAGGAGTGAGGCAGTCATGCCTTGATTTAGCGCTTGTTCAACGTCATGTGTTAGGCATGTGGTCAGATCGTTTGCAGATCTTAGTGGGAGAGCTCCAAACTATTGTCTCGCTAATACTTTGTAGTGTATAGAGATCCATGCCATATTCCGTGCCACTAGGCGCTCGAGTCCTTTGCCAAGAACTGATAGGAGAGCGATCGGTCTGTATGATCTGGGCGAGGACCAATCAGTCTTTTTTGGTTTCTAGATAATTGCTAAAATTGCATGTTGGAAGCATTTCAGGTAATATCTAATCTTTAGACACCCTTGGTATAGCATTTGTACCTTATCCTTAATTAAAAGCCATGCTACTTTGAGTATGCAGGTTGGGATTTCGTCTGCGCCAGGAGCTGTGTTTCCTGCCTGAAGTATTGACTCCTCCACTTGTGACATTGATATGTCTGGAAAGTAGAGGCTAGTGATAGGGACTGCTGGGGAGTCCAGAGGTATGTCTCCTGCCTCAGCCGAGTTTTGAAGAAGATTTCGGACTAGTACGTCTCGTTTCTCGTGTATAGTAACTGCTGGGAGGCTGCTAGGTCTCAGTGGATCCTTCAGTGAAGGGCTTCGGAAGGTGCCTATGGACTTATGCCATTTACTCATATCGAAGACGTCCTTCATTTGTGTTACTATAGAGAGCTTATCTCGCCAAAATTGTCGTTGAGACCATCTGGTTATCCTGCGGAAGTCTGTCTTTGAGCAGAGGCCTGAGCGGTAATTGTGTAATGCATTCTTGCAGTCTTTATTCCACCAAGGTTATTCTATGCCTTATGTTAGGGTCCTCTTAGCAGAGCCTCTATATGCTCCTTGAATTGCAGATGTCAGTTTTTCGGCGAAAGCATCAAGATCTTCTTCTGTCGCGGCTGAGCTCTCGGTGCCAGCGAGATTAGAGGCGAGGAGCGAAAGGAAGGAAGTGTGATCTAGTGTGTCAAATCTTAGTTTCTGAGCTGTTTCCTTGTATCTCTGATCCCATGGAACAGTGGTAATTAGTGGTTGATGATCAGAGGTTACATCTAAGTGGCTCGCTATACTAGCTTTGGCTCCTGCGAGTGCCAGAGGGCTTGAGGCGAAACTGAGGTCTAACATGTTACCCCTTTCATGTGTGGGACAGTCTATGTCGGAAATGAGTACTAGACCCTGGAGATCCAGCCAGTTGATAAACGGCTCTGCAAAAGTTGTAGGGCTGCGTTGTAGCGAGGGTTACCATCTGTTGTGTAGTAGGTTGAGATCGCCTGCAAGTATTGTTATTTGAGGGAAATACGCCTCTGGCAGAGTTATAAGAGCTTTTGCGGCTTCACCTGCTCTGATGCAGCCTGCTGGAGCATTATAGATATTAACTATTAAAGCGGACTTTCCTGTGGGCGAGAAAATCTGAAGGAAAAGGAGATCCGAGGCCTCTTCAGTGTCAGATGTGAAGGGGCGAAGCTGGGAAGTCCGAATGCCTTTCTTCTTTCAGACATAGGTGAGGACTCGTGGCCGACCACTTATTGCCCAACTGTCAGTTGGGGAGAAGCATTCATATGATAGGTGTTTTTTGGTAATTTGTCGGCTAAGATCTTTGAATGTATATAGTTCTTAGATTAGGATAATGTTAATATCGCTAGTGTATGCCAATGTGAGAGCTATTTCATGTGCATCTGGCGCGTGCCCTACATTTAACTGTAGGATTTTGAGAGGCGCCTTTTGAGTTGGATAGTGATAGATCATAGCTCCTGTTCGAGAAGAGAGGCGAACCGGTTTTGTGGTTGAGGGGTTGTAAAGCGGACTGCACGAGCCGTAATTGGAGGATCTTCAGTTGGGGCGCGAGGTGGGGGGGTTACTGAGCGGAAAGGAGAGATAATCTCATGGGTTGGAGGCTGAGTTGGCACCTCGTCTATTGCCATAGGTGTTTCTTGTGTGCCTATAAAGAGCTAAGGGCTACATCCTTCTTCAGTTTGAGCTTTTGCGAGGTTTGTGGCGCAGGATTTGCGGATCTCTGCTTGTTGAGCTTTAGTATGTTTAGTATTGCCTCTAGGGCGTAGGAGGCATTCTGAGAAATCAGCTGGATATGGTCCATGACAGTGTATGCATCTAGGAGGGCATTGATGAGGTTCCAGGGCTGTGCAGCGATTGGCATGGCCCTTTTCAGTATACTCTGAGGAGCCACATAGCCGGCATCGAGAGGGGCGGGCACAGGATCTTGCATTATGCCATTTCCAGCATCGTATACATTGAATAACTGTTGTTTTCTTAGGGAGGTGACGAGCATTAGTGATAGTACCAAAAAGATGTAGTTGGATAGGTAGTGGTGTTTTCATGCCTTCTGGGAAGTTCATAAACCAGCTTGAGGAGGGAGTATCAGGGTTGACAGCGCTTGAAGTGGTCTCGCTAATAGATGTGGGCTTAAGCCCTGTAGTTTCGCTTATTTCTGAGGACAGAAGTGTAGGATTGACGGGGATTAGAGAGTATTGGCCATTCAAGATTTGGCCAATTTTCCTTGGCACATTGGTAACTCGATATGAGACCCATTGGGAGCTGCGTTCTATCTGGCAGTTAACAAAGAATGCAGAGATAATCTCTTTCTGGGCCTCAAGGGCTAGGAGGGCTTCCGGAGATGAGGGACATAGTGCAAAGCCAGTCTTTGTGGTTTGAACTTCTTTTAGTGCTGCACTGTTTGAGTTTAGTTGAGACCTTAGGCTAGAGTAGATAGCGTAGGCTTCCATTTTTCTAGCTGCATGATCAGCTGGGAGACGTACGAAGAGCTGATTGTCAGGAAGGGGTTGTTTAATCAGAGGCATAGGCTTTTTAGCAGGGGCTTTAGAGTGAGTGGTGGGAGTTGATTTGGCTGGGGCATGTTGGGTAATAGTCGCATAAGTTGACTGTTCAAGACCTGAGGAGGGGCGTGAGAGAGGAGGTGAGGGGAGGAAGGAATTTGGGGTAAGGGAAGGGGAAGAGGATAGGGCAGGGGGAATGAAGGTCGTCGAGATACCATTAATGTAGGCGTTGAAATGTTGTTGGGCTATGAGGCGAGGTCATCGCTTAGAGTGGTGAGGGCTCTCAGTAGGTGAGGGGCAAGGCCGGCGGTTTGGCTGCGGTGTTTGTCGAGGAATGCAGCTATAGGGCTGAAGATCTTCTGTCCTTCAGAAGCTCTTGTCGTGGCTGCAAACGTGGATTCCAGGAGGGCTGTCTGTAGAGGGCCATCTGTACCAGAGCCTTTACGCGCCATGGTGTTGCCAGGCGCGTTGAGACGCGTCAACGGTCGCGCTCTTGGGAGCTAAGTAGTAGAGAGGGGTGAGGAATTTGAGCCTCTGACTGTTTGATATGAATAATTAAAAAGGAAGTCGCCTATCAACTCGAAATCGAGGGTTACTAGTCACTGACAGTTAAGCTTGGCATGGTTTTTGTGGGAGCAATCGAGATGCCTCACTCCGACGCACTGAGCCGCAGGGCGTCACGTGACCTCGTCTAGGATAGAGGGATGTAAGACCGCGTCGGGGCGTGAGTTAGATAGCTAAAATCACACACATTTTGAACCCGTACAGAATTGCAGTACCTGCTAACCATTCATGTACGTACGTACATTAACGTGTACACGTGCTTTATGCACCCACAATTCATGATAATATAAATATATAATTAGTTAATCCATATAAATATTACAGAAGAGTATCTAGAATTCCTTGCGCGGCCCAGTCCTTTGCGCATTCTGATGCTTCAAGCAGTCGTACACTAGTCTTTGTACGATCCCATGGAACACGACGACGAGAACCTGAAAAGACTCTCTCTGGCTTGTCACTCATTCCGGGTATTAAGAGAACTTCAATTGCAAGCTGTGAGAGCCATGGATATCTTCCATGCTGGATAGGCTGACTCCACTATTGAATGGCTGTTGTATTATTATCCAGCATAACTGGGTTTTCATTAATATAGTTATCAAACTCGTCCTGGCTAGCCGGACGAGTTTGCTTCAAAATCTGCATCCAACAAACTTTATGGAAAGCAGAGAGATTTTCCTCTGGCTAGAGAGCATGCTTGCCTACACTTTCAGACTCGTACAGCACAGCTGAAAATGATAGTTTGTCGCGAAATCTCTCACATAGCTTCCATACGATATAGAGTTTCTTTTCTCCTTTGGTGGTGATCCTCCCATTCCCATCCTTTAAAAAAGCTATCCAACATTGTGGATTGAGAATGCGCGCTGCTAGATAGTATGGAGAATCATCTAATCTCTAGACATAGGTTGCGCACTTTTCCTGAGCACATTGGAGTTGAGGAACCATAAACTTGTCTTTAGTCTTATCAGCTATCTTCTACAAGAAAGAATTAGTTAAAGGAACATGGTTAAAAGTATAGTAAGACTTACTAATGTAGTTTGTATTATGCTCTAAAGAATGTCAATTGATTCCAGAGCCCTTTCTAATGTTATGTGATCTCCCTAAAGATATAGTGTTGCTTCATAAAAAGATTAAAGGAAATCATGAATTGACCGAAGCTGTACCCATTCACTAATTGTAAGGATATCATCTTTCGAGATATCATCTTGATAATGCTCAACGTAAAGTTGAAGCCCAGCCTTAACTTTATCCTCTAGAGCGACACTTAACATAGTAAACCAGCTATTCCATCTCGTACAGTTGTCAAGAGGAATGATTTTACCAGCACGATCTTTGAACCATGCTGTACGGTTAGTGGACTTATGGATATACACAATATTGTTGTGGAGTTTTCCCATTAGTCCTATAATATCTTGAATATTTTTTCCTTTTTCATCAGATAATAGCTCCAAGTGTTGGTTTGTGGGAGCAATCGAGATGCCTCACTCCGACGCACTGAGCCGCAGGGCGTCACGTGACCTCGTCTAGGATAGAGGGATGTAAGACCGCGTCGGGGCGTGAGTTAGATAGCTACAATCACACACATTTTGAACCCATACAGAATTGCAGTACCTGCTAACCATTCATGTACGTACGTACATTAACGTGTACACGTGCTTTATGCACCCACACTGATCAGTCTTGGTTGCAATATCAAGACAGATTGGCAAGGTCCTAGGTTCTTTCTTGTAATCACTTGTGGTTATAAAGAACCTGGTTCCAGGCTTCGTTGACTGCATCACGAACTAAGTGGAAGAGGGAGATTCTGCAGCGTCACATCTCTGACAAACTGAATCTTTGCTACAAGACTTTCCCCCCTAAGAGATAATCTTAGGCAGTCTGTGTTAGGAATAGGTTGATCCTACGGCGTCAATATTCCATAATACCGCCCTATCGCGAGACCATGTCGTTGACACGTTCGAAAGTCAACACCAAACAATCAATCATCAAGATAACCGAGTCAACCCAATAAGGAAATCACCAAGATTAGTGAGAATAATGGCTTCCCAAACCCTTGATAATTCGAGACAACCACTGCTAAGCAATGACCCTGAAGTCTTTGGGTCTGCTACTAGCCATCGAAGCGAAGCCGAGTCAGAACCTACTAGAATTCCTGACGACGACTTTATGACAGAGACTGGATTTAATACTGTCACCGGGCATAAGAAGATCGATCCAACCTTGTGGGAAAAGGATGCTGGACCGGGGGACAGTGTAGAAGCGTTGGTCAACTACACAATAAAGGGCCATGTACGAGCTGCCGTTAGTCATCACTTTGACCATGAACTATTCGAATGGCTTCATGATTACTTCGAAGAATGGACTCTGGTCGATTCATAAGCTTGACAGGACCATGAGAAGCAAGCTGAAAGACTTCCTTCAGATACGTGGTGTTTATTTGGACCATAGAGGTAAGAAAAACATCTCAGAAGGATTAGTCGAATTGCTTCAGATGGATATTCCCCCAAGATGGCCAGATGACATGATCGCCGGCAAGAAATTTGACTCAAGATCAAGGATGGCCTTAGGTCAACAAGCTCAGTTAACACCAAGGAGTGACACCACCCCGCTAGCTAAGAGAATTGAGAATCATAATAGGGATCACCTCATTGGATTGCCTTATTCTGACAAGGAAAAGGAAGAGACAACACTCGGGAGAGATCCAGAGAGAAGAATCAACAATAACCCCCTACAGCTGGAGACTCATGTCCGAGATCTTGATAGTCATACACCCTTGACTGGTGCCAATGCAGTGCCGATAGGGACACCGGCCCCCAGTCCAATCAAGATATCTACCACACCACCTCCGCGTCCCTCTACGTCGTTGACATCTGCGAGGCAACTTGATGAGTACATGAGATTGCCGCCTACAGAGTATGAACAAGAGGATATTGACCCGTCGTTGGCCGCAAAGTTTTCCAAGGCATGGGACAAGGCAGAGAGTTATTCAGGAGAACGATATGATATCCTAGACGACAAAGTCCTTGCTTTCCTGAGAGTTTGTCGATTGATTGGAGTACAATTAACGCAATGTTGGATACTCTTTCCCGAGATGCTTTCTGGGCGTGTAAAAACCTACTATATGCACTATATTGGTCAAGATGCTTCATTTACAGATGCATACAAAGCTATAAAGGCGTACTTTGACATGGATTCCAATCATCGGGTGTACTACCAGGACTAGATGTCGACCACATTGAAAGACGTTCTCTGTAACAACCCCAGCAAAACGCTTGTAGAAGCAGTAGAAATCCTTATTGAGAAACTTCACTTGTGCCAACGTGCCCTAGGAAATGCGTACAAGGGCTAGGAACATCTAGTTGCTGCTGTCACTAGAGCCTGTCAAGATTCGCCTGAGATGAGCGACGCTCTTAGTGATCCTGCAACGAATTTTGAGACGTTGGTATCAAGACTCCGTGCCAGGGCCGCTGTGGTCCAAGGAAAGGAGTCAGCCAGTCAATATCTAACCCGAGTTAAAGCCAACTCAGCTCCCAATGGGATAGGAGAAGACAATCCGATGACGCTGTACACAGATAGAAAGTTCTTGGGCCGCACAAACCAGAATAATCGACAAACCCCACGTCAAGGATATCGACGCCAGGGACGTGATGATCGTAATTCCCGCCAACAAGGTGATAGGAAGTGTTGGATCTGCCACAGGTCCGATTACCGCTCGTTCAAACACTCCGACGAGGAGCGCCGTAGAGCGAGAGAGCAGTTTAATGATTATCGACGTGTAGATGGTAGACGCTCTGCTTCTGACCGCATATATCGCGCCTTTGTCATGGACTTTAAAAAGGGCTGTATAATTGAGTCAGATAGTGAGGAGGATGACGTTGAAGAAGAAGACGACATTGAGGACGACGCCACTACGTATTTCATGATCAACGAACTGCAAGATCGTTCCTTTATCCATTGGATAAGTGGATACCACGATGATATCGATCAGGAAGGATTCCACCACAAATTGGAGGTAAGAGAGCTTGATCAATCAGAGCGCAAGGATGGCCTCCTAGAACCTGCTTCTCAATTTGTACTTGAACACCATGAAGGCGAGATTTTCCAAGGAATTCTTCCAGATACTGGAGCAGCAAAGGTATCAACTGTTGGCCGACGTCAACTTGCTGCCTTGCAGAGAAGCTATCCAGAGATTACCGTCGATAGGACCCGTGCAGGAGAGCACTCAATTCGATTTGGCCAAGGTGAGAGTGTTCACTCTGAGGGTGCTGTTACCATAACAACCCCAATTGGTGATGTTGATTTTCATATTATGAACACGCCAACCCCATTCTTGCTTTGCTTAGACGATATGGATAAACATGGCGCTTACCTAGATAACATTGCGAACTGCATGGTAAAGGGAGACGTACGGGTCCCAATTATCAGAAAGCGAGGCCACCCATGGTTCTTCCTTGATAAGAAGCAGGCGCCAGTAACATTTCTCACAGAGATTGAGATGAGACGACTTCACCGTCGGTTTGGCCATCCTGCGGTTGACCGCTTGCACAAGCTTTTAAAACGAGCAGGCCATGACGATGTGGATTACAACAATCTTGCAGAAATTGAGAAGTTTTGCCATCACTGCCAAATGAACCGGCAGGCACCACGACGCTTTAAATTCACATTGAATGACGATCGTGAGTTTAACTATGAGATTGTCGTCGATGTTATGTATTTAGATGGCAAGCCGGTGCTTCATGTTGTCGATTGGGCGACGTCCTTCCAGGCCGCACGATTTTTGAAGTCTTTATCTGCGAAAGATACATGGGAAGCGCTCCGGGCAGTGTGGATTGACACCTATCTTGGCCCTCCTGATGTCATCTCACACGACGCAGGAACCAATTTTGCCGCATTAGAATTCAAAACTGAGGCTAAGATGATAGGAATCCAATGTCACCAAGTGCCAGTGGAAGCACACAATGCAATCGGGAAAGTTGAGCGTTACCATGCACCACTGCGTAGAGCATACAACATTATATTGGCAGAACTAGGCGCCAGCGTCGATAAGGACATGATCCTCCAGATGGCCATCAAAGCCGTCAATGATACCGTGGGACCAGATGGGATAGTTCCAACCGTACTCGTTTTTGGCGCTTACCCGCGCATAACGACTGACTCGCCCCCATCCGCGTTAACTGCTCGACGTGCTGAGGCAATGAGAAAGGCGATGGCCGAATTGAGACGTGCCATGGCAGAGCGATGAGTCAATGACGTACTTAACACCAGGAACGGCCTAATTATCACGGAAACGCTCAATCTCGCATCAGGGAGCGAAGTCAAAGTATGGCGCGAAGGAGATGGTTGGTCAGGACCGTACAAAGTTATATCAGTCAATGGCCATGACGTGACTGTAGATCTTGGAAATAGTGCTGTTGCATTCAGGGCGACGTCTGTACAGCAGTATTTACGTGATAGCAAGGATGAGAGTGATCGCCTGATTAGATTGCCTCTCTCTCCCCCCCAAGAGGATCTCAATCGCCAGGACGGTCGGTCCCAAGTCGACTTCGACAGACTCTGAGGACTAGAGCAAGGGTAAGACTGCAAGACCATCCTGCAAATCCGAATCACCATGTTGAGACTGGGGGAGTCCACGCACCGCAGACCCCCGAGATGCCTGCGTTGCCACGCCACCGAGGACGACCGCGTGGTTCCAAAAATAAGCCAAAAGCGTACGCCAAAGTGTTCATATCCAAAAAGGAGAGGGACGACCTTGAACTTGCCGTCAAGCTGCAGCGTGAAGACAAGATCGCCACCAACGGCGCGCCGTTCGAATTATCAGGAAAAACAGAGATCGACAGCTTGATAGCAAATGGGACCTTCAAGATTCTTCACCGTGCCGATATGGACCTGCGTGGCATCAGAATTTTCAATTCCCGCCTTGTCAACGAGATAAAGGGCAAGAACGAGATTCCCTATGAGAAATCTCGACTTGTTATACAAGGATATAACGACGCTGGGAAGAATAAGATCTTGACCCAGGCACCCACGATCCAGCGTGCAAGCCAACGCTTATTAGTGTCGCTTATCCCTACACTCATTGAGATGGGAATGGTCGTTGAGATCTGGGATATCACGCAAGCATACACACAGGCAAAGACCAAGCTCGAGCGTCTGATTATCGTCAATCTTCCCATTGAAATGCAGGATAAGTATCCACCAGATTCACTCCTATTAGTTGAAGGCCCGCTATATGGGATCCCTGAGGCAGGTGTTCATTGGTTTGGAACATACCAGGCGCACCATCTTAACAAATTGAACATGGAAACCTCGACGTACGACCCATGCCTTCTTATCTCAAAGCTAGGAGACGACGAATTTGGACTTGTGGGAATGCAAACGGACGACACACTTCTTATCTATACAGAAAAGTTCTCCAGAGGTGAACAAGCCGTGTTGCAAGAGGCAAGCTTTAAAGCGAAGCCAAAAACACGACTCTCGGAGACCAAGCCTCTAGAATTCAATGATGCAAGAATTACCCTGCAGAATGGCATTGTCAATTTACAACAGAAAGGGCAAGCAGCGAGGATCCAACCAGTGGGTATAGAAGAACGCGCACAGAAGTATATCGAACAACGCGCACGGGGAGCCTATCTGGCTTCGATCTGCCAACCTGAAGCTGCGTATGACTTAGCCGTGGCCACTCAGCTGCAAGAGAAGGATCGCTCCGATTCTGATTATGAGGCGTTGAATAAACGTCTCATATAGTAGGCCCAGAATCCAGAGAGAGGGCTCCGTTATGTGCCTCTCAACCTCGCCAAAGCCAGGATTATGGTTTTTACTGATGGATCCTTTGCCAATAACCGGGATTTGACTTCCCAAATCAGATTCCTGATTACCATGGTCAACGAAGACTTCTCGCAGTAAGGCCGCTTCGTCGCCACTGGCAACATCTTGCATTGGCAATCAGCAAAGTGTAAACGCGTTACACGGAGTGTACTAGCCTCTGAGGTCTATGGCCTTACAGCTGGATTTGATCATGCGTTCACTATTGCCAGTACCGCTAAAATGATCACCAGTCGTCTGGACCTACCGGCAATGCCTGTAATTATTTGTACGGATTCATTTTCGCTTTATGAATGCCTCGGTAAGCTTGGGACCACCAAAGAGAAACGCCTCATGATCGATATCATGGCACTTCGTCAATCTTATGAGAAGCACGAGATCCACGAGATCCGTTGGATCCATGGAGACGATAACCCAGCCGACGCTTTTACAAAGTCAAGCCCTAACAAGGCCCTACGGGACCTTGTTGACAGCAATAAGCTGACAGTTCGTGTTGAAGGCTTCGTTGAGAGAACCGGGAGCGATTAGGAGGCGATTCGGGGCCAAGTGGGGGACGAGATCGAAGTGGAGACGTGTTTTCGGACACGCCAGCTACCTCAATAGATCTTTTGTTTGATCCCTTCGTTATGTTTTTGTATGGTTTTTCATGGGTTTTTGGATCTCGATCGCAATCCAATTTGTAAAAGAGATCCAGTGTTGGTTTGTGGGAGCAATCGAGATGCCTCACTCCGACGCACTGAGCCGCAGGGCGTCACGTGACCTCGTCTAGGATAGAGGGATGTAAGACCGCGTCGGGGCGTGAGTTAGATAGCTACAATCACACACATTTTGAACCCATACAGAATTGCAGTACCTGCTAACCATTCATGTACGTACGTACATTAACGTGTACACGTGCTTTATGCACCCACACCAAGCCTATTTTCTTATTTTTCTTCTTCCTCCTGTCTTTCGACTTTGCTAGTAGTAGTATTAATTATAAGGCTTCTTCTTCAGCCTCTTCTCCTTCCTGTTCCTCATCTTCTTTATCGTATAACTCCATAAGCTTCTCATCCTTTTTTGAACTGAACAGAAAGGCTTAAACAATGAGATTGATGACATGTCCTTGACAGCAAATTCTTTGATGCGTTGCGGTCCACGTAATCTTATGCTTGAGGCTAAGCCATTGGCCTATCATACGACAGAGAACGTCATTTGATCCGGCGTTATCTCTAATGAGGGCTCCAATCTTCGTTTCAATTCCATACTCAATAACAACCGGACAGAGCGCCTCCCACTGATCTGCTCCACTCTGACTATGTACTGTACGAAGGGCAATCAGAGGGTTCTGATATTTATCCTGGATACCGACGAAGCTGGCACATATTGCGAGAAGAAGGGAATGATTCAGAGAGGTCCAAATATCAATAGCAAGATGGATGTTCGTCTTTGCCGATTGAAGTACTTTTCGCACAGTATCCTGGCTTTAGACAAAGTGTTCAGTAATCCATTCTGTTATTGTTAAGTGATGAATAAGAACAACCAAAGGCGATTCTTGATTCAGTGCTTTTATGAAAGCATGGAATTCCAGCCATTCCACGCAGGAGAATGGAAGACGTCATATAATAATAAGATTTAAAAGTGTTTATTTCACAACATCTTGCTGTACTGTCCGCCTTAGAATTTTACCCTCAAGACCCTGAACTTCTGCCTTTGTTAAAAGCTTTCCATATAGGTCATGAACCAAAATTTCCCCGAGATTTCTTGCCATCGTACGCATACTATTCTCTTGTGGGCTCTATTAAATCCCATGGTGTCTCCAGAGATGATGTTGCAGCCCTTAGATTGATGCATAGTGTCCCTTTTCATCTTATGGAGGGCAATATTTATAGAAATATTTTTTTCTGGCTTAGATCTTTTCCTCTCTTGTTGCGGCACGACAATGCTTGTGGATTGAAGAGGATAGTCTTGTTAGATAAACCGGATATCCAGCAAGACAGGATGGATGGATGGATGTTTTATTACGCCCGGAGGTGCTAACCTAAAGGGCACTAGTGCGCTAATTACATAGTCATTTCCCACAGATCCGGCATGAACTCGCGATAGCCCATAAGTTGTTTTCTTAACATGTATGTGCTTGGTGTTTGGCTTCTTTGGTTGGTTTGTTAGGGGCTCCCTTGTTAAAGGTGTTGGCTAGTAGATGATCTTAAAGGTTATCTTCTCCAAGTGTGCAGTGTCCTATCTTCGGCGGCTGCAGCGAGATCTACCCTGGAAGGGAGGAAGAGTTAGGGAGGGAAAGGGGTGGGAGGTAGGGGAATAGCTTCACTTTTCACTGTGTTGATTGAGGTTCGGATTCAGGTTCAGGTTCCAATCTTCCTGTAGCAATTGTGAACTTGATTGCTACATGGACGGCCTTCATATCTGGTTGCCATCAATCTGGGTCTGAACGTGATTTACCGCCCAGGAAGAAGAATAGATTTCCTTGTCTTGATTCTGTGCACTAATTCATGTCTTCTCTCATCGCTGTCCATTGCGTGCAGCAGAATAAGAAGTGCTCTATTGTCTTGCTTGCTTGGCCACAGGCACAGAGATTCGACTCTGCTACATCTATCCGATTAAGATAGCTGTTGAGCCTTGTCATTCCGGTCCGAAGTTGGGCTAGGATCTTTGCCTCTTTCCGATTCAGTCTATCATATAAGCTTCTTGTGTGTTTTCCTGGAAGAGCTATATCTACCATTCTGGAGTATCTTCCAACGTATTCTAGGAGAGTCCATTCATGTTGCCTTTCCGCAAGAGCAAGCCTGATAGCTGTTGATTTTACTTGATATAGCTGTTTTTCTAGTAGCAATTTAATTCTTATTGCTTTCTATGCCTCTGCTTTTGCTTGCCGTTTCACAGTCATGTCTAAGCATATTGGAATCCAAATTGTGACCACCGCATTTCCTTGTTGCTGTAGGTTTTGAACCTGTTTATATATCCACTGGATCGATTTTTGGCCTGATTGTTGATGGGGTTGGCTAATTGCAGACAGTGCCAATCTATTGCTACTGAGGATGAATATGCATCTCTGATATGTCTGCCGTGGGATACGTTCTAGGGAGGTTGCAATTGCTTCCAGCTCCGCTGTGTAGGGATTTTGCTCTGTTCTTTTGCCCAAGAGGATCGAGTGACTGGATATACTATTCCCACTTGCCCAGGTATCTCTTATGCAGCCTCCTATGCCCACCTTATCCAATTTAATAGATGTGCTTGTCGCAATTAGAATGCCTACTGCTTTGTTGGTATTGCTAATGGCTTTATCCTCGTCTATTTCACAAATTGATGGTATCCAGTTGGTCCAAGGTGATACTGTAAATGCTTGGATAGTCTCTATCCATTCACTGATCATAGTCGCTAGCGGTTGAGTGATCCTCTGTAGTGGAGACCGGAACCTCTGGGTGGCGATAGTTCTCACTCTGGTTAGCAGATTAGATTTCGGTAGAGTCTAAATATTAATCCAAAGTTTTGTAGCTTTCTCTGTATGTCAAATGTAAAATGGTTGAATGTCTGCTTCTGCCTCTGCCACTGCAGTTATAACTATCTGGAAGGATCCTGTAACTGCAATAGCTCCATGTTTTTGTATTCTATTTAGATACTATGTCCCTTTTATTCCACAGGCATGCATCCAGACATTTGAGGCATAATCTGCCACTGGTGCCATAGTTGCCTTGAATAATTGCCTCGCAGTCCATGGAAATACCATTTTTAGTCTTCTTAGCGCTATGGCTGCTGCTAGTCCTCTTATAGTAGCATTGGCAATGTGATCCTCAAAGCATAACTGAGAGTCCATCACTACTCCTAGGATCTTCGTGCTTTCCTTTGGTTTGACCATTTTGTCTTTGATCCTGAATGGTAAAGTGCTTGAACGACTTGCAGTACAGGTGAAATGTACTATAGCAGTTTTATCACCTTCAAATGTAGCTCCGCTGCGCCTTTCCCAATCTAAGACTCTATCAATCACTGCTTGAATACCTGCATAGTTTTCTTCAGCAGATGGGCCTATTACCTAGGCCGTATAGTCATCTATAAACGCGATTGAACCTCCAGAAGCGTTAATCCTATGTTGTACTAAGTCCGCGTTGAAGAATAGAAATAGTATAGGTGAAAGTGGTGATCCCTATGGTAAGCCTGCTTGTAGTAGTTCCCTTTGTTCACTTATTTGTCCATTGACTGTGATAGTTGCAGTTCGTCCTGAGCAGAAGGCATCAATCCATTGGACCATCTTGTCAGGTATCCCTCTTGCCTTGAGTCTCTGGAGTAATCTCTCTTTGAAGACTCCATTGTATGCTCCTGCAACATCAAAGCTGACCAAGCTAAGGACCTTCCTATTTCTCCACGCCTTGTAGATTTCTTCTTGAAGTAGCAGAATTGCTTGTTCTGCAGAACGCCTTTTTCTTGCTCCAAAGTGGTTGGTGGGCAGTAGGCTAAATGTTTCCGCAGCATATGATATTCTCTCCGCAATGACCACTTCTAGTATCTTGCCTAGCGTGGAAAGTAATGATATAGGTCTCCATGATTTGGCTAGTGAGTAGTTGTCTTTTGCCGGCTTCTTCAGTGGTATGATCTTTGCATTTCTCCATTGAGACGGAAGATCACCATCTTGTAGTGATATTTAAAAGATAAGAAATACTCTTTCTTTAACCACTAGCCATAACTGCCTCCACATCATAGCTAGGAGTCCATCTTCCCCAGGTGCTTTCCATGGCTTAGCTTCAAAGACTTTCCTCTCAATCTCCTCCATGGTTAGATTAGGCATGTGTATTGGCTCCCTTTATGGTTGAGTTCCTTCATCTTCAATCCTCTCTGGTAGTGATGGGAAGAATGTAGCGAGCAGCTCTTCAGCCTGTTCTATTTTGTCTTTAGTAGTAGATCCATCTGACTTTACTAATGATGGTATTTTGTTACTGAATGGGTTACCGTTAGGCTTGAGATACTTGGTTGCTTGCCATATATTAATATCGTCCGCAAGGAAGTCTTCCCAGTGAGCTTTCTTCTGTTTCCGGATTGTGTCATGATACTCCTTTGCCGCTTCTCGTGCTTGTTGTTCGAGCTCTGGGACTGTACATCCTGCTCTACGCCGCGATCTAGCCTGATTTCTCTAGTAGGTGTAAGTGCAGCGAAGCTGCGTCAGATCTGTCGTCCACCATCGCTTAGTATATGGTAAGGGCTTTACTTTCGGTGTAAGTTTTAAGACTGCTTCTAAGACTGCTATCATAAGACAATCCATCTGCAGCTGGACCGAGCCCTCTAAAGGAACTGCTTGCAAGCTAGCAGTGACTCTAGCTCTGATTTCTGCCCAAGGCGCGTTCTTTAAGAGCAGTCTTTCATTGGCAGGTCAATCTGGAACTGATATATCAAACTCTGTCTTAATCGCTTGATAGTCTGATCTGTGGTTTATATAGTGTATGCCATATCTTATCATCTCTTCTGCTAATTCTGTTGATGCTAATATCAAGTCAATTGTTGTTTCTATATCTCCTGATTGCCATGTTTTTGTGCCTCTAGGTAAGAGGCTGTGGAGAGAGTGTTCACCCATATAGTTGATCAGAGCATCGGCCTCCCCCTGTCTCGCAGGAGATATATGATCTCCGCCCCAGAGTTAATCATGCTGGTTGAAGTCTCCCATTATTAGGACATCTGTCCGTATTCCTCCTCTTCCCTGGAAGTCTGCCACTAAGCTGTGTAGCCACCTAATTGTGGATATCAGTGCCTCCTCACTATTTCCCTCCACATAAACTAAGACCACTAGCACCTTCCGGTCTGGGAGACGCAGAATTGCAGCTATTAGATCTAATGATTCCACTGGGGTCTGTTCAGCTTCGATATCGCTCTGGACCCACAGCATGCTCCGAATTGGCCATCTTCCATCATGTCTTTCTGTAGGTATCATCTTTGTCTAGTAACTATGTCCCATCGGGCTTGTCACCACGGCATTCTTGATTGTCTATGCGTATGGTTTAGATATTGCCACCACCCTATAATCTCTAATCTTGTCATCGTTCATTAAGCTCTGTTGTATTATGTCCCTTTTGCCCACATTGAGTTGTAGTACGCGGAGTGATTTATGCATGAGATTGCATAAGGCGTACACGGCAGTTTTTACTAAATGACTCATGAGGTCCTCCACAAGGAACACACTTTAAGACTATAGCCTGGCAAGTACTGTGGTGATGTCCCTTATTTGCACATTTAGCACAGGTCTGAGCCTTCTTACAGGAGAAGGCCTTGTGTCCTATCTCTTGACAGTTGTAGCATTGAGCTGGTCCTGCTGATGGTTCAAAGAGTCGAGTGTATGCTGATTCTCCAGCAATGTTAAAATATTGATCTCTCAATAGCCGTTTAGCATCACTTCCTTTTGTGACATATACCACCATAGATCCATACGCTTTGTGGGAGTCCTTCTTACTGAGCCAGGAGATCTTAGCAATGTTGACATTATTCTCTTTTCCCAAGGCCTCGGCTGCTCCTGGTAGGATGTTCCCATCTGCATCCAGGACTACTGTCCGGTTAGTATTGTCAATTTTGACCGGGTACAGCTAGTCACGTAGGATTCTCATTCCGGGTAGCTCGATCTTTTAGGCCGCTTCTTTCACCTGTTGACGCCAGAGACAATAGGAGTTGGGCGGCTCGCGGTCGCCTGTGGCAAAGCCTTAACAAGTCCGGTTGATACCAATACCATCTTCCACCTTGCCTTCTCGCTTCGGTGGTGATTTTACCCATTCCTATTGGCAGAACCCCAGGCCAAAAGATCTGCTGCTATCAACATCTCTGGAGTTTGCACCTTAAGCCAGCCGCAAAGGCAATTGCATTATGGGCGATACCGCGCTAGGATATCTATCCCAGGGACCTGAGTACGAGTCAGGCACAATGCACTCCTTCTCTAAGCCGACCGACATGCGCATCCGTCCTCTCGAGCCACTATAAGATCTCCGTAGGCCTCCTAGAAAGAATATATCGGCGATACCACATTGCCAATCTAATAGATATAAATGCCGGCGATACCACACAGTAGCGGTCCAAGTACGAGTTGAAAACACAGATACCAATAAAATATCAGTATAGGTGCCGGCGATACCACGCTGCTGTGGCCCAAGTACGGGTTGGAAGCAAAGATACCAGTTAGATAGCCATGGCCTAGGTACGAGCTAGGAACACATTCTTCCTAGTTACCCTCTGGTCATCCTCATAGTGCTACGGCCCGCTACTTTATTACTATAATAAAGTAGTTTCCCGTTACTATTAGAAGTCTCCCTCTAGCAGCCGACCATGTCTTGCAGAAGTCAATACTTGTAATACCCGCCTGGCATAATACTTGTATAGTTGACTCCTACTAACCTAGCTCAGTTCCCACCCTATGCCTTTATACTTAGAAAGCGGTGCGCTGTGTCTGTCCAGAATGATAAGTAGTTCGGTCTCAGTGTAGGCCTTGCCCTTAACACATCTGGTAACCACTTTTCTGTCAGCCTTAACAACTTCCATTACTTTCTAAGAGCACTTAGGCTTCGTTCCAGCCCTCGTTAAGATAGCTTCATTGGTAATTCCATAACGTTGGGGGTTCTATCTCAATCTCAGAGCTGGCTGAACTCGAGGGTGCCCTGTCACTCTCCTAGAACAGGTTCGTGTCGGGTGGTTTTCCTATCCAATATCCCTCTTGCGATCAATTTGGCTTTCGGAAAGCCCCTAGGCATCTTTCTAAACAGTAGTAATCGAAAGAATCTCGCATTACCTCAGCCGATCTTTCAATAGACTGCTCCACCGAGGTGGAGAGGTTTAATATGGTGTCTACTAAATAGATCCATATGGCTGGGTTTATTCGACGCGTCGGAATCCAACGCGTCGAGTAACCCGAGAATACGCGTAGTTAAGTAATGTGGGAGCCCCCTATCTGCACCGCGCAGCGGGAGAGCGCGCATAAATAAGAGTGCGAAGAAATAAGAGTCCCAGCAAGACAGTGTGTCGGTATAGCAATATTGCCTATCTCGGCGCGGGAATGGGATATAGTTTATCCGTGCGCTATAGCGTACGGAGGATAACTACATCTCACCACCCGCATCCCCCTAGTTCTTAGGATTAGTCGCCATATTAGGAATTCAGTATTACTGGCTCAGTCAGCTTGTTGGATTAGCTGTCCTTCTTAGATCTTGCGATCTAACGAAGGTAAACCCAACACTAGGCTCCACGGATTCGATCGAGGATAATCTGTATGGCATGATCCATGGATATTCCTTTACGGCCATCTAGGTGGCTTGAAGGAAGCAATCCTTCACTTTCCATGGCATAGCTGATGTGGCGTGCAATAATTGCTTTGAGAAACTTGCCAAGCGTGTTAAGCAAGGCTACAGGTCTATATGCCTTGGGTATGTGATAGTCCCTGTTGCCATCTTTACACAGTACGATGGTAATTAAGTGCTAGAAGTGAGTGGGATTGTAGCCAGTTCTCACGCAGGCATTAAAGATCTCATATAGAGTGTCAATGATCACTAGGATGCCAATGATTTTATGCCAGAAGCTGTTTGGAATGCCATCCTCACCTAGTACTTTATCTGGTGGTATTGAACAAATAACATGCTCAATCTTATGACATAGGATCTCTGGGAATTCAATTGTGACGGATATTGGCTGTCTGTGATGTCTGATAGATTAGCATTTAGAATAACTGGGAAGAACGCTTCTCTAAGAAGCTGCGTTTTTGCTTCCACTGTTTCCGCCATATGGCTATCGAGGTCTTGTAGGGTTGAGGTAATTCCTGATTTATACACTCCATTACGCGAGTGTGCCCATTTTGCTAATTTCCAGAGGCCTAAGGGGCCTTGCTCTATCGCCTGCTATACGCGACGTCAATAGTCTAGTCGTCAGGATTTCTTGACCAGGCATTTCTTCTTGTTGCGGGCTTGTAGGTAAGCCCTCCAGATCCACGGATTGTGGGTGTTTGAGAGTTGACATCGTAGCTGGCGGCAGGTTTGTACAGCCTCTTTACATTTACGTGTAAAATCCGGATTACTCCACGCACTTAGACGAGCCCATAGAACTGATTGATCAACCGCTTTGCGAATAGCCGCTGTAAAGGCCACTGTTGCAAGTTTAATATGAGATTTTAATGCATTTACAAGCCTTGGTACAATAAGTTGGCTAAGCAATTCCTGTAGCACTTTGATATCTATAGCCGCCCAGTTGCGGCGCCGTGGTGGTTCATGAGTTGGTATATCAATGTCAATCTGCGTCCTAGTTAACTGTTGGATTGGTCGGTTTATTCCAGGCCAATCCTGAAGAGTGTTTTACTAGGATCAAAGAAAAGAAGTGACTAGCAAGATTGTATGTATTGAGTTCTCTGTCCGTCTTTCAAGTCTTTAAAGCCGGGTCCTTTATAGACACCTTTGGCGGGGTGATTTGTGAGCTATCAGGAGGGGTAAATATTGGGCGGAAATCTAGGTGCCCAGATATATGCCTAAAGGTGCCTTTTAGACCTGTAAGATTGAACAGTCGATCTTTCTGCCTCGTTTGAAAGCCGGATTATCTGACATTAACCAGTGGTCAGAGTCATATTGGATCTCATCCGCACGCTCGTGTAACACAAGACAATAAAATAAGTGTTTGAATAGCGATCTTACGAATCACTATACGGCGCTGTAGCACGCCGTCGATTCGTACGCGAACTGGTCGGGATTACTATTCTCCGTGCGCTAGAGCGACCAACACCATATAATGTATCTAGGCACCCCGGCCCCCCCTAGTTTCGGGGGTCAGTCTTTCATTGATTGATTGATTGATTGATTGATTGATTCATACACGCATCTAAGCCTAGTGGCCGGCGGCGCCTTCTAATTGGGCAGCGGGCGTACTACCGTATAAAAGCATAAATCAACGTCAACGTGCCAAGACGCTTCCGGCTTGACGCTGACTTAGTCAACTCCACGCGAAAGTCTCGACACGTATCCGTATCCAGATCCGAAGACCACCAACAACAGATAACGAGCGAACAGAACGCCGAACCAACAAAGGAAATGTGTATATATACAAAATGAGTGAAGGATCTCGGTGCGGGGTGACGTGATATTTATGTTTTGGTGCCCGGTTCTATTTCCAAACGTGTCAAGTGGCTGATCCGTCCAAGCCGAATCAACATGGTTACTCTTCATCAGGGTAGTGTCGCACTCACTGTGAGCGCGTGGTTGTTAAGGGGGTTACGTGATGGAACTGCGTCAATAGACCAGTCCGCATCATAAATTCAATACTCTGCCGAACCCACTGAGGTTCGCTAAGGAGCTTCCGATAATCTGTTTCGCGTGCTTCTTTCCAGAGAGTCTCCATACGCAGGTTTATATGGGTAGGACACCGTATGAGGACGTGGGCCGTATCCTGATCCCCAAGGCCACATTCGCATTGAGGTGAGTCTTCAATCCGTACACTCGCTAGGAAGCTGCGTAGCGCTGATTTACCTGTTTGTAGTTGGATTAACACTGAACTCCAAGCCCGTCGTAATCCCTCGTGCAGCTGCAACACCATCTTCGTTGGTGCTTTGATTATCCGATAGAGATGCCGTCCATGGTTGGCATGCTCCCACTGTTCCTTCCACCTCTTTGCAAAGCCTGCATGTAGCCTCTGGCGACACACTGCCATAAGGATAGTTGACTGATTTGGAATATACGATATTCGTGCGGCGTGTGGTGTAGTCTGATTGGGTGCGCTGATCCTGGCTATGTGGGCGTTCTCCTGTGTACGCCGTGTCGCCTCGACTGCAGCCAACTTTGCCAGCTGGTCTGCTTTCTCGTTGCCTGGGACCCCTTCGTGGCCTGGCACCCACTGTAGTCGTACACGCCATCGAGATCGGTTGTCGCGTAGGAGGCCCAGGTGTCGTACGATCCGTCGAAGGATATACTGCCCAGAGGACCGCCCTGGCTGGCACGTGGCGCGTATTGCGGCTTGATTATCTGTGTAGATTGTGGCTTCGTGTGGGTTGTCGTCGCATGGCTGGCTTCGGAGTAGGATTTCCAATGCCGCATCGATTCCCTCCAGTTCCCCTGCATAAACAGTATGTGTGTCAGATGAGCCTACTGGCTTATAAGCCTGTCCTATTGATGAGTAGACCGCTGCCCCAATCCCATTGTCAAAGCCGCTCCCATCGGTAAAGAACTGTATTGTTGTATCTGTTCCTGAGATTGCTTCAATAGCCTTGATAGCCTCCTCACGGGTATCGTCAATCCTTGCTTCTGGTGGCTCCCACCACGGTGGCACTACAAAGGGGTAGATTGTCTCGATGCGTTGGCTAGTATCACTCCCCAGTTGCGGTCGATGGCTGTTTCCAATCGATAAAGTGGCGACGTGTATGGGTCGTTACAGTGGGCTTGGCCACGTATTTGGTAAAGCGTAGATCGAAGTGGTGAGGTCATGATCCGCAGGCAGGCCTCCTCAGCCAGCTTTGCGAGCGTGAGCTCTGCAGGTGGTACATGGAGACAGACCTCTAGGGCCTGTCGTGACGTACGTTTGAACGCGCCGGATATCTGGTGAAGAGCCTGATCCTGGATCGATCGGATGGCTTGCTCTGCAGCTCGCTGCGCACCGGTGAACCCTCTTCCACCTCGTATATACCACGTGGAGCACGTGTACATGATCTGTGGTTAGAGGACAGCTGTGTATATCTTCCTTAGATGAACCAGGGGCGTTCCCCATGTCGATCCTGCGATTGAGCTTAATCCCGCTACCAGTTTTGCAGCCTTCTTTCTCATCTCCTGTACGTGCACTTCCCCAGTGAGGTGGGTATCCAGATAAACTCCTAGATATTTGATTGAGTCCGTAGGCTTAATTTCTACTCCCTTGATTATGAGAGGTACATCCAGCCTACCACTCGGCTTAGGCACCATTTGGTGCTTCCGCCAAAAGTGGGTAAGTTGATATTTGGCAGGCGCAAATTTAGAGGCATGTGTCCTCTCCCAGCGCTCTGCAACCTGGTGTACTTTGGTGAGTGTGTGGCAGTTGGCTGCGGCGGAGGTCCCATATGTCATGATGAAGATGTCGTCAATATATCCAAGTACAATCACGTCCGGGCACTCGGCGAGTATCTGCTCAATAAGATCTGCATTAAAGAATAGGAATAGGATTGGTGACAATGGGGAGCCCTGCGGAATGCCTGTATTGACTAGAAATTCCCCCATATTGCCCTCTAGGAGTGTGATTGACGTGCGGCGATTGCTTAGAAAGCTCTCAATCCAGCCAATCAGGTCATCTGGCACCTGGCGCTTTCGTAGGTCGTGTATCAGCCTTATATGATTGACGTTGTCAAAAGCCCCTGCCGCGTCAAGTGCAAGCCCTGAGGCTACTCGTGAGCCCTCTCTCCACGCACTATGGGTCTCTTCTAGTAAGAGATGGATTGCTAGTTCGCATGAGCGGCCGCGACGTCCTCCAATATGTTGCTTTGGTAAAAGATTATATTGCTCCACTAGATAGCTGAGATGTCTGGCTAACACTGATTCTAGTGCTTTGCCAATCGTGCTCAGTAACGCTATTGGGCGGTACGCCTTTGGATCAGAGTAATCAGGCTTTCCAGGCTTGCGAAGGATGACTGTTGTCGACTTTCGGAAATGGTCAGGGCAGTATTGTTGACGTAGACATGCATTAAAGAGATTAACGAGATAGGCCTCGATAGTAGGGAGCAGCCTTTGTAGGACCAGATTGGGGATTCCATCTGGCCCTGGTGCTTTGTCGGGCTTCACGTTGGTTACTGCCGTTCGGACTTCGTCTAACGTGATTGGTGGCATCGTATACAGTTTGGGATATCTATATTGTGGCCCAATATCTGACAGATCTGCCTCCGGGGGCTCTGGGTGGAGGACCTCTCGGAATAGGGCTGCTTTCTCCTTTGGGGCTGTGTAACTCGTGTTATTGTAGTGTAACGTTGGGGTAAACGTGGCACGTGGTTTGCCCCTATTGCGGACCCAACGGGCAATTCTCCAGAATCCATCTATTGACTCTGTTGCCTGCTCAATTCGTTGGCGATGTAGATCTCGTGCGAGCTCATTGGTGCGCCGTTTCATCTCTTTCCTAGCCTCTGCGTAGTCCTCCCATGCCTGATCTGTATTTATACGACGTGCGTGTCGTCTACACCTAGATACGTGGTGTTTAAGCTTCGCCATCTCTGGGGTGTAGCCCGCTCGTGAGTAGATGCTGATCTGTTTTGTAGGTGTCGCTTGCTCAGCTGCCTGATTGATTGCCTCAACTAGATAGCGGATTGCCTCATTGATTGCCTCATTGTCATTGAGCTCCCTTGGGTGCCAATTGTATATGTCCATCAGTTTAAGGAAGAGGTCCCAATCTGTTGCATTCCACTGCTTGCGAACCAATGGAGGAACACGTATAGCTGTAAGGTCAAATTGAGTGGAGATTAGGACATGATCTGCTCCGTACTACCACTCTGGCTTGGTGTCGCAGCTCACTACCCGGTTGGCTAGATTGTGCGATGCCCACACCAGATCAATTGTAGATTTGGCGTTAACCCTCTCGTACGTGATCGTGCCTGGTGGCAAGAGCTGCTCGAGCCCATGCTCATCCATAAGATTAATCAATTTGGTGGCCTCCTCGTCACGTGTCGGTACCGCGGGCCCGCCCACAGCGGGTGATGTCGTTGAAGTCCCCAATACAATATGCTGCGCCCTAGT